TGATTTGTGGTTGAGATTGGATCTCACGGTTACCACAAACTAGTTAGTTCTCCCTTGAATGGACCCCTATATATATATATATATATATATGGGCCTAATCAAATGAGAACTAATTAGTTTGTGATAACCGTGAGATCCAATCTCAACCATAAATCAATAGATAAATTAAGAAATTTATAATTTTGGTAATTTTAATTTAAATTTTAATGCAAGGACATTTTAGGTATTTTCTCTTCTTTCTCCTCTCTTCTCTCTTTGTCCCCATCTCCGGCCTCCGGCCACCGTCCTCCGGTGATACCACAGTGTGATACTCAAGCACATATAAGATGCATTGTGATACCACTGTATTACATATCCGATCGACCACACAAACGACCTCAGTGTGATACCCAATCACATATAAGATACATTGTGATACCACTGTGGTATCACCGGAGGACGGTGGCCAGAGGCCGGGAAACGGAAAGAGGAGAGAGATGATAGGAGAGAGGATAAGAAATACCTAAAATGTTCTTGCATTAAAATTTTAATTAAAAATTACCAAAATTATAAATTTCCTAATTTATCTATTGATTTGTGGTTGAGATTGGACCTCACGGTTACCTCAAACTAATTAGTTCTCATTTGATTAAGCCCCTATATATATATTAGTTCTCATTTGATTAAGCCCCTATATATATATATATATATATATATATAAACTTGGGATCATGTGAGACCAAGGGTTTTTGGTGAGACCCGTAAGACCAATTCTCTCAACCATTGGATTAGATCTACAATCTGAACATTCATAATCACAAAATTGTCACGAGACTTCTCAATAATTACAAAATTGCCACCGTGCAATTTTAGACCATTAGATCATTAGTTTATAAAGTTGATCAATGAACATAAATTGGTCTTACTGGTCTAAGAAAAACCTTTGATCTCACGTGAACTCAACTCTATATACATGTATATATATAGAAGTGGAAAAAAAACATATGCATCTCGTCTCTCAGCCGTCTCATTCTCCGTCTCATTTTCTCTCTCTAAAAACTCTCTCTCAAATTGCTGAAGGAATCGAAATAACAATTATATATTCGGAATCCACTATCTGAATCCTTCTTAAAGGTATAAATTTCATTCACTTTTATTAGGGTGTTTACGTTAACATTTTTTTGAAAACCGGTTTATAAATTATGTTATGTCTAAGTTTACGGATTGATATTGTTAAAAGTATGATATATTTCATGTTTAGAATGCTATGATTGGTTAAATTGATGTAGAAATTAAAAGAGTAGATTATGGTTTCAATATGGTTAGATATAGTGTATATGTTTAACTGCACATCAATTGTTCGATATAATGTCGAAAATAGTCAAAATGCATGATTAAGCTTAGGTTAGCGATTAGTGGACTTGTTTTACTGTTTAGTATGTTGAAGTATGTTTATAGCACGTAAATATAGTGAATCATGGAAGTTCGAGAATTTTACCGACAATGCAACTATCGTACTTTGACAGTGTATAACTCACAAACCGTAAGTCATAATAAACTCGTATTTTGCAATTAGAAATCCCTTAATGTATACTACAACTTTCATGAAGGGTCGAAAATCCAATTATGACTCTAAGTAGCTTGAAACAATGTGTTTTCGGGGCTGTTTGCACTGCATTCAGGATTAATCTGTTGTTTTGTAAAATTCGTATAAAATATATAGATAATCCAAATAATGTGATTCCAAAACTAGTAGTTTCATCACATATCATACTACAAGTTTCATTTAGATAGTATCTTCTGTATTGACTTCTAAGTAGGGTAAAAATGGTCACGAAAATGAGGGTCAAAAGTTGTTAAAAGTCGAAACGGAATTATATAAAGCTAAGTGTTGAGTCGATTTCTCAATGCATATTCGGCTATCCTATTTGAAGTTTAAGGTGTTTATAAACATGTAAGACCTAAGTAACTTATTAGTAGAATTAAGATATGGTTTTACGTCGTTAAGTAATAACCGATTTGCACATTCGTTAGGCACGCGAGCAAGTCGAACTTTACCGTGAATGTCGTTTGATCGTGCTTTACTTCTCTTTTGCCTAAGGTATGGATTTCACTTTCTTTGACTCTTGGGCAACTATTTGTCGTAGTTGACCATTCGTAACGGTGGTTCACCATCTTGTGGTTGATCGCTTAAAAGTGGTCAATAAATTACGTATCTATCTATATAAAAACTCTTGAATCTTTATCGTGAACACCAAAGTTTAGTCCGTTGAATTGTATGTTTGAATCTTTCAAATTTGTTATATTGATTCTCATATTTTGAAGTAATTTTGAGTTTTATGAAGTACTATGAAGCTTGACCTTTTATGAAAGTCATCCGGGTAGTGTTATATGTTTAGTTTTATTGGTTTTCAGAACAACACAATTAATGGACACATTATTTGGGATGCCTTCTATGACGGCTTTGTAGTCATGACGTCCTACATGTGAACTCAGTCCATAGGGTTAGGCACAATAATGGCTTACATGAACTCATCTTGTGGACTAGGCTGAGTGTATTGGCTTTAGGGCAGATGGATCAATTCTAGGATTACCCACATGCGACCGTGGTTAAATTCATGGGGGACTTGGGGTGTGTGCCCGAACGCCGGGCCGATAGACTTGTGATCGAGCGTTTAACTTTTTGGAGTTTGTAAACTCGTTTGTAGATGTATAATATTCTAAGCTTATAAATAGTTGATAGAATGTAA